GTTGTGCAACCAAAAGCAAAGGCATCAAGTTGGAGTTTCCTTTGAGTATTTCTTTGTCCTGAATATTGTAGTGAAATACTACAAGCAACTCTTCATTTTGCAACCTAGTCACAGGACATTAACTCAGTTAAACAAGAAGTGCCTGGTAGCCTGTTATATTTTAGGGATGGTCACTACCCATATTATGCAATAAACACCACATTCATGAAAAGACAAATGTCTTAAAATGTGTATTATTCCTATAATGTTGATACTGGGGAAAAAATAAGCTACCTGACATTTTTTGGATATTGAAGCAGAAATATCCAAAATATGTATTGTTTGCCTGTTTTAATGCAGAAGGAAGTGATTTGGAGTTCAGCATGATGAGATCTGTTGATTGCAGATGATGCAGTCACAACACCTGTGCCAAAGGGCCAGGAAAGCTTATTAGCGCACTCTTTTTATTGGGCTCACTTTGCTTCCAGAAGTTCCTCAGGTGATAATGAAACATTCATTTGAAGTTAAATAATTGTCAGATATAAACACACTTTTTAGAAGTGATATTTTGAAACTTTTTGATATATAGAAATGTCTCAGATGGGTGCACATATTTTCTCAGGGGTTGTATATACACTATTGAACCACAGAAAACAATCGAACAATTATCACTGTTGTTCTTGGCTCTGTGTTTGTTTTGTGTGAATTTTCAACTTACATTCCTAGCTATAAGCTCCTTTTCTTTAGTGCCTTGTGCTTGCCAGGCAGGAGCTTACCGTGCTGAGCTAAATGCCCTGCCCTATACGCGCCTTTACTGCATATTTTATGTGTTTTTCTATCCTCCAAGGTGTTTACTGCAGAAGTAGACAAAGCAGTAGTTCCATTATTGCCAGTTTCACTGTCAAGAATATTTGGCATTTTCAGTGATTTTTACAGTTAAGCAAGTTCATGGTTCTGTGCTATCCTGTCAGTAGTATTTTAGTTTCATTGGGCCCTCGAAATGACCTGCAGAGGATCTTTCATTAATAAGCCAAAATTGCACACTCAAAGCACTGCTTCTCGCCAGGCATAGTGGTGCATACTTGTAGTCCCAGCACTTGGGAGACTGAAGCAAGAAGATTGCCAGCCTGGGTTCTATAGAGAGTTCAAGGCCAACCTGAAATACATAGCAAGATCCTGTCTCAATAAAAACTTAAAAAAAGAAAAAAACAGAAAAAGAAAAACAAATCATTTTCATTGAACTATTTTTGATATGTTGTCTCACCATTTATCAACCTACCCATATGATGGGCCAGACTTACAAATGAGGCTCACTGTTTGGACTTACAACCCACTTCTTGGGTTTACAACCTGTGTTCCTTTTTTTTTGTTGTTGTTTTTTAATTTTTGGTACAGTTCTGTACATCTTGGTAATAGAACCTCCATTTTTTTGTACTCCTTATTTATATAGGACTGCAATTTTCTTTACTTTTTTTACTTTATAACACAGTACTGTAGTTTTACGTTCTGTTATATATTATAGTACTGCATGTAAGAGTTATGCAAACAAAAGTAAAGACATCAGATTGGAGTTTCCTTTGACCATTTCTTTGTTCTGAATATTACGATGTACACACTGTATACAATTCCTCATTTAGTGACCAGTTAATTTAATGATTTAGTGACAGGACAATAACTTGGTTGTATAAGGAGTGTTTGTGCTTTTACCAAAGTCTATCTTTTCAGACTTACTTCTTCATCTTATGTGGATATTGGCTAGTTGGACTTTGCCAGAAATCACGTTCACATAATTAGCATCAATCCTGTTATTTTCTCATTGCTGAGACACAATACCTGATGCCCACAAATTAAAGGAGAGGTTTATTTTGCCTCACAATTTCAGACATTTCAGTCTGTGGTTAGCAGGATCAAATATAGTAATGGCATGCTAGAAGACCTGCTGCAGAGAAAAGCTGCTCATGTCATGACAGCCAGGAAACAGAGAACTAATGATGGAGCCTTTCAGGTCATACCTCTGTTGACCCATTTCTTCTGAACAGGCCTTATTTCCTGAAGCACTTTTAGCTATTAATTACTCTTCTGATGAACATAGTGCCCCTTTGATCTACTCGCCTTCCAAAAGTCCAACCTCTGAACACTTGAGTCTTGGGGAACATTCCAGATCCAAACGATAATATTCTGCACCTGACTCCCCAAAGAACCATTCACATCTCTTTATGCAAAATACATTTAGTCCATCTCTGAGAGTCACCAAAGTCTTAACAGTGCCAGCATTCCTGAAAAGTCCAAATTCTAAGACTCAAGTCAGCTGCGAGTCCTTGTAAAACTCAAAAAGAAAATTAAATATTGCTGATATATGATGGCACAGGGTAATCCTATTCCAAAAGGGAGAATTAGAAGAGTAGGAAGGAATTAGACCAAAACCAGCCACCCCCAGCAAAAAAAGACTAAAACCCAGCAGTGAAAACATTAAATCCGGGGCTGGGGATTTAGCTCAGCGGCACAAGTACCTGCCTTGCAAGCAGGCGGTCGTGAGTTAGATCCCTGGTACCGATAAAAAAAGAAAAAGGCAAAAAAAAAAAAAAAAAAAAGGAAAACATTAAGTCCTAGGGCCAAGGATTTAGCTCAGTCAGTAGTGTAAGTGCCTGCCTGGCAAGCATGAGGTCTGTGAGTTCGACCTCCGGTATCAAACCAAACCAAATCAAGCATTAAGTCCTATAGTTCCACATCCAACTCTTAGGGCAAATTGTGCTAAGATGTGCTCTCCTAAATATTTGAGCAGCCCCATCCCTGTGGCATAGCTGGTTGCAGCCCTCATGGCCACTCTCTTGGGTTGCCTCTGTTCCCTGCCTGTGGCTTTCCTCAAATGCTCTACTTTGCTGTTTTTTCCAACTTCCTATGGTCTTCATTGCATTTTGGGCTTCACTTTCAAAACTTCTTAGACTGTTGTCTCAGGGGCACACTGCTTGACCTCACTGGTCTGAAACCTGTTGGAAACCTCTCTGATAGTTCTTCCATTCTCTTACTCATAAAACCAGTATTATGTGAATGACACCAGCATCTGTTGCCAGCTTGAGCAGTAGTGGGGCTCCCTTGGATCATAGCTGTAGAAGCCTTCAAGTTCCTGAATGGCTGAGCACTGTGAACCAAAACCTGGAGAATCAGTTCCATAGGCAGCCCCTTCTTCAGGAGGGTGCCTTGGGGCTGTGGTCTCAAAAGAGTCTTTCACTTTTGCATGTTGAGCCTATGGTCTTGCTAATTCTATAAATGCCTCAATAGGTCTCTCCTATGTCCTGATTGCAAGGCTTTTGAAAAATGCTAACCTTTTAGCATTAAATTCCACACTGTCCTTTGCCCTACTGTGCAGGGGCTTCCTTTCTGTTAAAACTGGATTTTTTTTTAAAAAATGGAGTGTTTGCTCCTCTTTTTTCACTATAAAGCTGGCTGAGAGCTTTCAGTATTACATATGCTACAAACTGAACATTGGGGTGCCTTGAAAAAATTGCCTATACTAATTAGTCCACCATCAGTAATCTTTGCCTGAAACAAAGGACATGGACAAACACAAATATTCTGCCACACACACACACACACACCCCACTCAGTTGGTCTTAGATCCAACTGCTAGAGAAGTCCTTGCTTCCAACTGAAACCTCCTGCACCTGCCTGGCCATTACTCTGCATTTCCTTTGGCGTTCTGGCTTTTTGAGTTCTGATCAGAATCTCCTGTCAAGCTGAGCTTACCGCATTCTTCTTCACCTTCTTTAGTAAGCATCTCTAAACTTTGTAAACTCCTCCCTCAAACCAGTTCTAAAATCTTCTAAACTATATGGTCAGGTATATTCACAGCAACAACCCTACTTTTCTGGTACCAAAATCTGTCATAGTCCCTGCTTGTCTCTGAGACACTATACACCACAGCCACAATTTGAAAAGTTTATTTTGGTTTACAGTTTGAGAAGTTTGAATCCATGGTTGGCAGGCTCAAATGCAGAGGTACCATGCTGAAAGGGTCTGTTCATGTCGTGATCACCAGCATGGAGTGAAGTATGGAGCCAGGGAGGGAGGTATACTTTCTTGTCTCACTCCAGGGACCTGCCTTTTCTGATCAGATCCCACCTTCTAATAGTACATTTATCTATAGATGTATCTGTGGCCTAATCTACTGATGAGTATAGCACACCCCCTTGATCCAGTCACCTTCCAAAAGCCAAACCTTTGAACACGGGAGTCTTTTGGGGGACCTTCCAGAACCAGACCATAATAAAATCCATTAAAGAAGGAGCCAGTTTTTGTTGTTTATGTTCTGATCATACAATGTTTTTAAGATTTCTTTCTCCAATTTTGGAGGTTGAACCCAAAGGCCTTTGTACTTATCTACATCCCTATACCTTTTAAAATATTTTTATTTGGAAACAGAATTTCAGTCTCAATAATCATCACTAAATTTCCAAGAATAGACTCAAACTTAGATTCTCCTATCAGTTGCCAGGAGGTCTAGAATTACAGATGTATTACAGATAAGTTTTATTTCCAAAATGTGACTAAGACACACTGAAGAATTCAGTAAAATGGGTATGGTATTTGTAGATAAGTACAGTGGCTGCTAATCATTCCTACCATACGTATATTTTTCTAAGATTTTTGGCATATCTAGATATACAATCTTTTTTTTTCTTTTTCTTTTGGTGTGACACTGAAAATTAAACCAGGGGCCTTTTCCTATGAGCTGCATCCCAAGTGCTGGACCCTTTTTTGAGGGGAATGGGGAGGATCTTGCAAAGTCACTAAGCTGCTCAGCCTGGGCTGAAACTTTCAGGCTCCCATCTTCAGCCTCCCAGAGTATTGGTATTTCAGGGTTGTGCCACTGCAACCAGTTCATACATACAATTTAATGTTGCATGGTTATAATTTACCAACTCTTTACCCCAGAACAGTGGGAATTGATAGTTTGCATGAAAAAAATAAAGCTAACAGCAGTTTTAATGTGAAGGTGAGTTGCCAGGCAACAGAGGAAATGCATACTTAACTTGGTACAGGAGATACTATGATTATGAAGGTGGTTTTCTCAAGGGAGGCTTATCCATTGCATTCCAGACATGGTGACCCCTTGGATTTGTCCAAATGTAAGGAATTCCCTGCATAATTTCTGATGTTGGAGACTGCATTTGTGCTTCCCCTGGTACAGTTGTTCAAGAGAAGTTTTCTGCTAGGCATGATAGTATACATCTGTAACTCCAAAACTCAGGAGGCTGAGGCAGGAGGAATGCTTGAAGTTTAAGGCCTGCCTGGGATGCATAGCAAGACTTGTCTCAAAAAAAAGGGGGGGGGGAGTTTGTTTTTTGCATGAGTGAAAAGAAGACACATTTTCCCTTTACTTTATTAATCATTAGCTATGGATAAACCATATGTACTTGTGAATTCAAACTTTAGCCCAAAAGAATATAACATCCTTGTAGCATGCTGATAACATCTAGGGCCATACTACAGAGTCCAGACCGTGGACTAGGGTTGAAAAACCTCAAGGTTTCAAAACAAAAGTAAATCATCTACCTAAGAAGCAAAAAAGGCTCTACTTCCCCCTGAAATAGGTCAACACAGCCCATTTTCCTTTAAAAGAACAGGGACCTTGGAGAAAAAAAGTTAATCATAGAAATGGAACCTGAGACCTCATCCCTGCTATCTTGGCACTTGCCTATCTTTACATTTGAATGTGTCAAAATCTTACCATTTTACAATAAATTCTGCCTGTATTTTATATATCAGCTTACATGTCTTGCCTGAACTCTTTCATCAAAGACACAAATAATCAAAGTATATCACCAGTTCCTTGTGGCGGTAGGACATATGGTGTTAGGAAATAGCATTATGAAACAGAACTTTGCATATGTACTCTTTCTACCTCTGACCTACACTAAGCATCACATTTTTCATGGATGTGAAAATCCAGTGAAGACTGTTTTTCCTACAGGTTCTAGGCTCAAAAACTAGCAAGGCCACATTTTGAAATCTTTGTCTACTTACTCTAGAGATTCTAGAGCAGAATCCATTACTTTGCCTTTTCTAGCTTCAAGAGGCTTCCAACATTCCTTGCTTAGGATCCTTCCATTCTCCAATCTGCTCATCAATTTGGTATCTTCTCTCTGATTTCTGTCCTTATATTTTTATTTTTCTGACACTCAAGGGACCATATGATTGCTTTAGACTCACTGCATATCTTTAATCACATCTGTAAAATTTCTGTTGTGCCGAAAAGTAACACATTTACAGATTTGAAGTAGATTAGTATGTGGGCATTTTTGATGGACCATTATTATGCCTACTGCATCTATAAAAATCTCATATTTGCATGGCTGTAATCTCAGGCCTCTGTGCAATTGAGGCAGAAGAATCAAAAGTTCAAGTCTAGCCTAGTAATTCACGATGTAGTGTGACCCTGCCTCAAAAAATAAAACATCAACTGGGGATGTAGCTCAGTTTAAAGACCATTGGTTCAATAACTCATACTGCAAATAAACAAAAAATCACCTCGGATTTGTCAGCAACTTTATTACCAAAGTGAGCTTGGTATATGAATGTAAGTGCAATGCCTTCTGGCTTTGTTTACATATATTTCTTAGGACTTTGAAGATAAGGATCTTAGTATTCAAAATGTTGTTGTCTTGTATTTTTGAGACAGGGTCTCTCTATGTAGTTCAGGCTAATGCTGAACTTACTGTGTAACCCAGGCTGGCCTTCAACTCTTGGTAATCCTCTTGACTCAGCCTCCTGAATGGTGGGATTACAGGTGTACACTACCAGGCCTGGCCTGTTTTGTTCTTACAATGTGAAGTCTTTACATTTTGAGTGATGGGCTATAGCTTACATGAATAAGTAGACATTTGATAAATAATGTCTAGAGTTTGAGGGTCAGGAAACTTATAATTAATGCTATTTGGCAGGGAGTAAGGAATACCTTGTTTGTTAAGGTGGTTTCCTCCAATGAAGTCCATTCATTGCATATCCTGACCTCTACATTTCCTGAAATGTACCAAAATTGGTGTCTTAGTTACTTTCTTATTACTGGCACTACCTGACACTTACAAGTTAAGGGAGGAAAACTTTATTTTGGCTCACAGAAGTTTCAGTCCATTGTTGGATGGTTCTAAGACCGGGCAGCATGGCAGAGAAGAATGACAGAGGAGAAACAGTTCGTGGCATGGCAGTAGGAAGAAGAAGCAAGGGAACAAAGGAAGAGGAAAGAGCTATAAACCGTTTCAGGCCATACCCACAGTGACCCACCTCTTCCCACTAGGCTTCACCTTCCAAACCCATCAGTGGATTAATCCAGTAATGAGTATCACACACCCGTGATCCAGTCACCTCACCAAAGGAGATGATGAGGACATGAAGCTTTGACTTTTTTTTTGTCCTTTTCGTTTTTATCGGTACCAGGGATCGAACTCACGACTGCCCGCTTGCAAGGCAGGCGCTATGCCACTGAACTAAATCTCCAGCCCTGAAGCTTTGACTTTTTAATACTTGACTACCTGACTTGTAATGCTGGGACACTGTGTTCAGACTCTCCACAGTGTAACACTACATCTAATGCCAGGTGTCACTACATCTTAACTTTTTTTTTTTTTGTACCTGGGATTGAACTCATGACCTCACTCTTGACAGTCAGGCACTTAGCAACAGAGCTAAATCCCCGACCCACTACATCTTAATCTTTATGTAGTCTTTACATCCCTGAAACCCCAAGTATGCAACCCTAACAACAGCACATTATCTTTCATAAGATATTTGTGATTCATCACTAGCACTTGGGATTCTTGATACTTTTCTTTTCCTCCCTCTCCTCATCTGGCTCTTCCTCCCATCCTATCCCCCTCCCTTCCTTTATTTTGGCAGTACTGGGGATTGAGCTGAGTTATAACTCCACTGTATATATCCCTCAGTTATATTGCACTGAGTTATAGCTGTAGTTTTTTACTTTTGACTTTGAAATGATAGTCTCCTTAAATCTCTAAATTGCCTAGGCTGCCCTGAAACTTGTGATGGTCTAGGCTCAGTCTCTGAGAGTGCAGGGATTATGGGCATGAGTCACAACCATCTGACTATTCAATTGTTTATTTGTTGAAATATTAGAGATTTTATCAAGACTGAGCTGTGTTCCATACTCTTTGTTATTTCGAGACAGGGTCTGCCTAAGTCTAAATTTCTTAGACTGGGCTTGAATTTACAGTTATCCTGCCTCAGCCTTCTAAATAGCTGTGATTACATGCAAGTATCATAACACCTGACTCTTCTTTAAAAAAAAAAATCTTTTCCCAAGGTGATTTTATTTTTTGTCTCCTGCATCCTGGGCAAGCACTTTGCAACTGAGCTGCAGCCAACCCCATTATTTTTCTGCTGTTTATAAGGATTCAGCTAACATTTTCTGCATTAAAACTTTCATTCTTCCATTATATATGGAACAGTAGATCCCCAGTTAGTTCCTTTAGTTATGTACTTTTACTACTTTAGAGGCCTCATTTGCAAAGATAAGTGTATTAGCAAGGCTTTGTCCCACCCTTGAGATATCCGACCAGACTAGATTCACATATCCCAGTAATCCCAGAACTTGTGAGGTTGAGGCAGGAAGATCCTGAGTTAGACGTTAGGCTAGACACCCTGCCCGCCCCCGCAAAAAGAGAAGGAACAGAAAAGAAAACCTTAAGAAGTAGTGATGTTGTGCTTACTTCAGTAGCATATATACTAAAATTGGAATGATGTAGAGATTAGTATGTCCCCTGCACAAGGGTGACATGCAAATTTTTGATGTGTTCCGTATTTTTATTGTGAAAAGGAAAAGGAAAGAAACTGCTCAGAAAGAAAGAAAACTGGGATAGGAGGAAGCAGAAAAGAAAAGGAAAAGATTACATGTCTATAAATGTGTGTGTATATGTATACAAGATAGGTAACTATACCACTAATGTCTGTTAGCTCATCATAAAGAACAGTTTGTGTTTCATTGTTTGATTGTTTGATCATTTTTCATGCCTATATCTTGTAATCTGAACAACTACTTTGAAGATAGCAATACACATTACATTAACCAGTGTTAATCTCATTTGATTTTGTTTTGAAATTGTTTCATCATTTTAATTCTTTTTTCTTTAAAAAAACAAAGAAGAAGAAGTAGCAATGATGTTGCAAAGCACAGTGTAATGGCCAGCCTAACCTACATAGTGAGTTCAAGACTAACTTTATCTACACATTGAGGCCCTGTCCAGAAAAAAAGTAGTAGATTAGTGATGGAAGAAAGGGCAGGGAGAAGTATCTATGGTAGATAAATGTGTTCACTTGTAAACAGTATGAACTTGAAATTTCATTTTTCATGTATCTTGCTAGTGAAATACAACAAAACTGCTCACTTCATGACAGTTGAAGCAGAACACAATGGGAAGCACACAAGAGAGGAAGCGGCCAAAAACTAGAAATAAGCTCTCAGGTCTGACACCCCCTGCCCTGCGCCGGCACAAACCCAGATGCCTGCATGTGTGCTTTCTTTCTTTCTTTCTTTCTTTCTTTCTTTCTTTCTTTCTTTCTTTCTTATGTTTTTGAGACAGGATTTCGCTACGCAGTTCAGGCTGGCCTTGAACTTTCTTTGTAGCCTTGTAGAACTTGAAGTGATCTTCCTTCCTCAGGCTCCTGAGTGCTAGGACTACAGGTGTGTGCTACCACAACTGCCTGCTTTATTGATTTTGTAAGACTTTCTCAAGTCCATCAAGTTAGTACAAACTAAGTGTCATACATCCTACACAGTAAATTTTGCTAGTTACTTTTTCTTCCATTTCTTCTTGTCTGGATATGCTGAGTTACACATACTTACTTTGTAATATTAAACCAATTTTGCATTCCTGGTATATATCCCACTGGATCATGTATTACTCTTGTATGTTGGTAGATTTAGTGCCTGATTTTCTAGAAAGAATTTTATGTCTATGAAGGATAATGGTCTATATTTTTCCAGTTTGGTCCCTATCAAATAGCACTAAGCCATTCACAGCCAAGTTTTAGAACTTTATTTATTTATATTTATTGTGGTTCTAGGGATTGATCCTAGGACCTTCACATTAAGCTATATCCACAGACTATTTTTTTCTTTTTTCTTTTTGAGATGGGCTTCCTTTATAGTTCAGGGTGGCCTTGAACTCATGGCAATCCCCCTGTCTCAGACTCCCAAGTGCTGGGATTATGGTTATATGCCACCATGCCTGGCATACACAGAACTTTTTGTTTAAAAAAATTAATTTTTAGACAGATCTTTATAAGTCCCTAGGCTGGACTCTAACTGTGATCCTCCTGCCTCAGCCTCCTAGAGTTCTGGAGTTATAGGCATGGTTTCCCATTTCTGCCTCAGTTTTAGAATATATTCCTAACCATGAAAAATTCCCCTATTTTCAAGTCACTCCAGTTCCATTGTGCCACAGGCAACAATTAAGCACATTCTGTTTCTGTACCATTACTTTTTTGAGTGGGGATGGTGATGCATGCCTGGAGTCTCAGTTACTTGGGGGAAGGAACAGAGAGGTGGAGACAAGCCTGGGAAATACACCAATACTCCCAACTCCATCTAAAAAAGTAAGCATAAATATTCCCTTAACCTCCTTTTATCCAAATCTCCTGGCTATGCCAAAATGTTATAGGGTAGCTCTTTTTAAAAGTGGCTCACTAATCAAATGTTACCAGATTCTGGGTTTCTGACCTCTTTCTGGAGTTAGATTCCAGGTTCTTTTCATATGGTGGTTCTTATATGGAACAAAGAATTGAATGAAATGAGCAAAAAGCAGTGACAAACTTTATTTGATAAAGTAAAAGTGAAGAGTAAGGGAGAAAATGGCTCTGCTTGGGGCAAGTAAAAAGAGAAAAAAGCAAGATAAAAGAACACCTTGAAGAAAGCAGGGTGAGCTACTGTGAAGAAAGTCACAATTGCAAGTTCTTCTTGGTGTCCTTTTATGCTGACCAAATCTCAAAGAAACCCATGAAAACATCTACATATGGTCCCAGGAGGTAGTGCTGGGATCCCATACCTCAGGCAGGTATTGGTTGTAGGCCATCCTATTGAAAATCTATTTGAGTAGAGGGCTCTGACAGCCATTCTGTCTATAGGGTTCTGAGAACTGTTCTGTGCACTGTTTCAGGATTTTTGTAACTAATAGGCCACACACACTTCCCCAGCTAGTTTTGCCACACGCTAATCTCCACTCACATCCTAGTTATCCTTACATTCTCTCCAGACTTTTTTTCCTCCTTTCATAAGTAGTAGTATTCTTCAGACCTGTCTCACATGTCATAACTTCAGTATGTGCAACTGTCTGAGTCCAGTGCCCAGCACTGCAGGGGGAAGAGAAGGCAGGAGAAGCAGAAAAAAAGAAATGGAAGTCATCCTAGTAAAGACAGCTAAGTTAAGTAGAAATTCAGCAGTCAGATTGGGCTGGGCCCTCACGACAGTCAGAGCAAAGATGAAACCTCATTGCAACTGTAACTGGTGGCACATCAGTTGGAGGCCAGGCCTCAAGATAAAGGCAAGATAAGCAAACCTAAAATAAATGGTAACACTTGCTCTAATAAAGTCTCCGTAGATGTCAGTCACCTAGTGGATGATCACGACCTTCAGACTCATCCTTTCAGACTCATCCTTTCCTGAAAAGTTCTTTGTTCTTCCCATGTATACTTGCTTCATGACTTGCCTCCCCATTGGATCAATATTACTTAAGGGGCTCTACTTACACTCTTACTGCTTGACCATATCTTTGAACCCACATTGTGTTCATGTGGTTGTGCTCTATAAAACTTCCCCTGAAAAGTGGGGTCCTTGGCAATCCACTTAGGACTCCTGGCTCTCAAGAGCTGTATCTCTCCCCTTCAATAAATATCTCCTATTCTTTTTTTTTGATACTGGGAATTAAACTCAGAGTCTTGTGCTTGCCAGACAGGCACTTATGCCACTGAGCTACATCCTCAGCCCAAATATCCTACTCTTAACCTCTATCATTCTTTAGAATTCATTCTTTGATTTTGGTGAACATGAACTCAGTGTATCAGAATCCAGCAAGTTCGGAGTTATAATATTTCCCTTATAGCATTTGGAGGTCCTATGTCATTTGTATATAAATTTCTTTTAGGGAATTTGATCTTATTTTCCCTGAAGAAATAAACTGTTGGGAAAGAGCCACTGTCTCAAGAAACCATTATAGAACCGGGAGTGATGGCAGACTCCTGTTATCCCAGCACTTGGGAGACTGAGGTAGGAGGATCCTTGCAAGTTTGAGACTACCCTTGGCTACAACATGAGCCTAAGGTCAGCCAGAACTGCATAGCGAGACTGTGTCTCAAAAAGACAAAGAAACAAACAAAAAAATACATTATAGAATAGTGGTGACCAGGAATTCTGATTTAAAAATGAGGGTTAATAGTGAAAGTTAGAGGAAGTGTCTCAGTGGGTTTCTTATTTAAATTTGCCTTCTTTTTCATAGCCTTCAAGTTCTTTGAAAGCAGAGATTGACTCTCAACACTATATTCCCAACAACAGGAAGGGAACAAATGCTTGTTTAATGAAGAAAGAGTGAGTGAATGAGTCAAATATGTTAGTCTGATCATTTATTCATCAAATGGGATCAGACAGTATAGTGTGACATTGAAAGTTAACCTTTCTATGACTGTTTACATCCATAAAGATGGAAATAACCACAGTGGGAAATACCTCAAGTGGGATTGTAGCTCATGCCTGTAAGCAGTTTAGGAGGCTGAGGTGGGATGATCACAAGTGTGAGTCCTGCCTGGGAAATTTAGCAATATATTATCTTAAAACTATCTTATTGTATGGCATGATGATTTATTGGTTATTTTATGCAAAAGATTTAGCCCAGTGCCTTGCGTATATTAGGTACTGTTAGAGATACCTGGCGTAATAGAGAAGCAAAAAGTACAAAACAAAAGAACAGGTTTATTGAGTTGAGGCCATGGAAAGGAGCACATAACCCGTGGTGGCTGGGCTGTCTCCTTCGACCAGATACAGAGAAGCAGAGGGTTATATGATCTCTGATTGAAGGTGCATGGGGCAGATATTGATGACATATGAGGAACTGATTGGAATTCTCTTTGCATATAAACAGGAAAGGGAGTTGCAGTTAGGACTAGAGAAGGAGGAGGAAGTGGTAAGTGTTACCGCTTTGGTCTTCCGCCACATTAGACCACTGCCATAATTGTACAGTAATAAACTCTTTACAGGCACCATTTGTATTCCCTGGGCAAGATAAAGCAGGGATTAGGGGTGGAGAGTGGAAGTGAGTCCCCTATGCTAATGTCATCCACAGCCAGTGTTGATATGTAGCTGAAGAATTTTGGTGCAAACTGGGAAAGGCTGCTGCTTCCACACTTGTGTTTCATAGAATGTAGTTTGGAAGTTTCAAAGGCTGCCACTACACAAATGTTGCTGAATGTGTGAGTTCTGAATGTGTAATGACACTATATGGAGCTTTCAGGTGACTGTTTACATTTAGACCCTAGTATTATGTACACTAGGCTACGAAGGTTCCAGGTCCTGACAACTCATACTTACCTGACAGGGGAGATACCATGTTCATAAAGGTGGTTTTCCCATGGTGAGGCTCATCCATTGCACTCCAACTGTACTGAGTTGTAATTTCCCCAAATGTAGGAAATTCGCCTGCCTGGGCAGTGGGGAAGATACCATAACCACGCAAGTAGTTTTCCAGGGTGAGGCACATCCAGTTGTACTCAGGATGTACTGATCCCCGTGATCCGTAGCACTATGTATTTTGTAGCACTT